CACACACACACACACACACCACAGATTGAAGCAAAGCTTGAGTCAGTAACTTACCTGAACACAGAAACAAATAAAGTGTGTGTAAGATTAAATCCATGATCATCCACTGGTGCTTCTCCTTGTTGCTGCTGCAGATCTCTGAAGACACACTTTCACTTTCACTTTGTCTGAAACGCAAGCTGCAGCTTCTGTCACGTGGTCAGTTATGATACCCCAAGTTTTTCATGATGTGAGCAAACTGTATGATACCAACATTTCACTGACACACTGCGGCTGGTGTGTGCACCACAGACGTTTTAACTACAGACGTTTTAACTACAGACGTTTTAACTACAGACGTTGCTGAACTGGACATTCGAAATGTCTCATGTTCCGTAAAACATGTTTGAACACATGAAATCCACACGAAATCACATAATTCCTTATCATAACTCGATTCATCGATGGATCGACACGAGGTGAAACTTTATTTTTTAGGTTTTCGTTTCTTTTTCAACCTTCAATACTGGATTTGACCTGAGGTGGCGCTGTGAGCCAGCGGCGGGACCCTCTTGTTTTTTTTGTTGACACGTTGATGCGGAACAGCGGAAGCGCTTCATACGAAAGTGTTGACATGCCGGCGGCATGATGTCGCAGCGAGTGGCCTCAGTTTGAGGTGTTTGCTGTGGAGGTGAAGCGGAGTTGGTTTCTTTAACCGGACACTCTCTTCAGTCCGATCACAGCTCGTGTGTCACAGCTGGAAACAAGCCGGCGACTTCCTGTAGCTACATTTAGCTGCTAAGCTACAAGTGATGGACAAAGGTAACGAGCTTTTCTATCATCCCGTCAAACATCTTGTTCTCCTACATGGGAATCATGGTCACACTTAATGCAGATACAAAATACTTTATCAACAGGCAACTGATTGATTGTGATAATGCTGAAGCTTTCATTTGTCCTATATTATAGTTTGCATGTTTGGGTTTTGACATGTTATTTTAAACTGGTTTGCTATTTTGTTGATGTGCTCTGTTACAAGGGCTGAGGACGATGCACCTAGTACCATTCTTTATACTCTACAAGGCACATTGTGATTTGAATACAAGCTATTCAAATAAAATCTGATTGATTAATGTTGTCTGACATTATGTGGGCATAATGATCGAGACAGTAATCAGCAGATGTTGATCTGTAGGAGCTAAATAACATTTTCTAATGGAGTGACCGGTTTCTCATGAATCAATAATTCTTTACTGGGTGTTGAGTCTGCTCTTTTATGCTTTCAGACTCGGCCATTCTTCAGGGGGCGTTCCTCCAGGCCAGTAAGCTGTGTCTGCCCTCATCCCTGTCCTCCCTTCAGAAAGCTGACTGGAGCAGGGTGGGACATCCAGTGGTGGAGGCAGTCAGAGAAATCTGTGGACAGGATGAACTCAGCACAACAGCTCGCTGCTGGAAAAAGAAGATAGTTTGTGTTGTGTGGTTGAAGCTGTTGTGTGGAGAGGCAGAAGAGGACGTAGAGACAGCATGGAGGGAGAACCCTTTCTTCCCTCTCCTGAATGGGCTCCCTGAGCTCAACCATGTTGTCCTGCTGGAGCTGGTGAGGTCATTGGCGGCTGCAGATGTTTTCGCCGGTTTCCTTCTGTGTCTTCCCCAGTCTCAGATCTGTGTTGAGCTTGAACGGCTGGTGCAACATGTGAAAAGCAGCCCCACTAGAGAGGATGATGTGCGACTTTTTCTGCAGGTGTGGTGGGAACTGTGGAAGGGCAGTAACGAACAGAAAGTAGGAGGAGAGGACAGCATAGAGGCCATGTTTGCCAAGCAGTTTGCTCGTCTGTCCTCTTTGTCCTCCAGTCTGTCCCCTCAAGCTGCCAAGAGGTTAAAGCTTGACCCATCGGATCAGCCGGCATCATCACCAGCCACTGATGTCCTGCACATTCTCCTTCATGCACTCAAAGACATGAAAGATCACATATCCTCATCAGATCTCTGTCTCCAAGCCCTCTCCATTTCCCTTGATTCTCTTTACACTGCATTGCTCATAGAGCAAGAGGTCAAGCTTCCAACTAAAGAGAAGATGCACATGTTGTCTAAAGCTGTCCTCATCAGAGAAAAGAATGATGGGAAACTGAGTCCTGAACTAATTCAGGAGGCTCAGAGAGACTTGCGTGCCTCTCACACACCGTCTAAGTTTAAACCCAGCAGGATGACGCTTGGAGAAGCCATGAAGATTATAACAGACCTCACACAGTTTTGGCTTAACAGCAAACTCCTGGCAGTAGATGACAGTACAAATTTGAGTTACTCTACATTTAGACTGGAGCAGAGTGTCCGGAGAGTCCTCACAGCTCCAGAGGAAGCATGTTTGCCTGAAATGATGTCTGAAAGTGATGCACAAAAACCAGAGATGAATCTGCTCAGAGGTTTGCTGGAGTCCCTGGTTTTCCCCACCATAGAGACAACCCCTGAGGTGGATGCAAAGGTCACCATGAACATCATAAGTCACCGTCTGGAGGACTATCAGAACTTTGCCGTGTTGTGTGCGAGTGAGAAAAGCTGGGCCTTCCCTGATGAGCAGTTGCTGGACTTCCTGGAAAAGAACCAAGCAGCGTTCCAGCAGCACGATGCGGTGGTCGGACTTTCCTCCACCCTCATGGGTAAACTCCACAGTGAGAGTCCTAATGTCAGCCAGTGCAGGAAGCTGATGAAAGTCACTGCAGACATTTTCTCTGCTCTTTCATTAGAAGACAAGAACAAATCGTTGGCCGCCATGTTGAGATTGTCCACCAGAGGGTTTTTGGGGCGTTCTGTTCCCTCTGCTGTGACTATTGGTTTTGAGCAGGAGCTCAACATGGCGTTCAACTGCATCATCCAAGGAGGGGGCGGAGCTTCAGCCACAGCGTCGATGAGCCACCTGAACACAGCGGCCTCTTTAATAGCACGAGTGGCATTTCAGAATCCAGAGGCCGCTTTGAGGTCCTGCTGTCATTCAGCTGTGTTCAACAAGGGGTCGTTCTCTCTCATGGCTAAGATCCTGCAGCAGCTGCCTGGACTCAGAGGACAGAGAGGAAGGAAAGAAGAAGCGGAATGCGAAGAAGGAAAACAGACAAAGCAAAATGGAGATGAAGGAAAGGATGATGTGAGCGGTGGCAGTCTACTATGCAAGTGTCTGCAGGAGACCATCAAGACCAAATCATTGTTGGCCTGTGAGAAAGAGCAGCTCCTGAAGTTTCTGGGTCTGCTGATGATGCCGGTCGTAGCGGTCGAGGGAGAAGAAAGGAGGCAACGCTTTCTGCCGCCTCAGGAGGTCGTGAATGTCTTTGTCCTGCCAAACCTTTCCTCAGTGGGTGAGTGGTGATTTTATAACTTTATCTATTGGAGACTGAAATGTTTGTTTCGGAATCTTCCTTGTTATAAATTGAACAACACTGCTAGAACAACAAGATGCTAAAATTAGCCTTGTGAATGAATGGATAAGATATCAGCGATAGTTTCTCAGCAAAATAAGTTTGTTAAGTTGTTTTGGAGGTTTCAGGTTCATCTTAAAAGATGTGTTTTTGCATTGTGTGTTGAAGTATAGAAAGTTTTTATGAGCCTGTCTTCTTCAAATGTTTTCCTTCAGGTCACAGTTGGTTTGACACAGAACTGAGTCTGCAGCTCCTCCACACTGCTCTGTCTGTAGATGTCCAGCCTCCAGCCTCTTCTCCTCACTGGCTGTTGGACTGTTCTCCTTTTCCTCTGCTGTACGTCCTCGCCCAACTGCACAACCAGGCTCTCAGGTTAGTCATCGTGTTGCCTTTAATTCAGATACCTGTTTTTATTGCGTTGTTTCTTTTCTGTTCAGCCTTTTCAGTGAGTCCCTTAAAGTTGAGTGACCTGTCTCAATGGGGTCCAGACTTTCTCTCTGCAGTTTACAGAGTTCTCACCAGGGCCTGGACAAAGAAACTCTGGAGACACTTGTGATCTCACATACAGTCCCACTGGAGAATGTCAGAAGATTATCTAGAGTTCTGTGCAAGTCTGAACGCAGCTTAAATCTCTACTAGGTTTTGGGAGCAGCCACCAGAGAGCACTGTCCGCCACTGGTCCATGGACACCAAGGAGCTGCTGGAGTCGGTGCTGGCCACACTGGCGCAGGTGGTTGGTGAAGAGGTGGCAGCGGCTCCCAGCACCTGGTCCAGAGCTCTTTTCTGGCTCTATAACAAGATGGAGGAACTGGACTGGGCAGTCAGGTTCCACCTGAAGCCTGTGTGGGGGGAACACTTCAAAAATGAAGTCCCCTTGTCTCTGCTGGCTGTGTGTGATTTACCAGAACAGGTAACAACCTCTTGGATTTGACTAAACACTGAGTTTCTTTCTTTGTTTAAAAGCTGCTCAAGTACATTACTCATCCAAGGTTCCAGATGAAAGTAAATACTTGTGTACGATCAATCTTCTATGTACAAACCTTCACAAACCACGTCCTCTCAATGCACTGCTCATATGAATATTTATATAGTACACCTACACATCTTTCTTCAGTTTGAACTTATCTTTTTTCTTTCCCTCCTCTCCAGGAGTGGTCGGGTTTGGACCTGCCTCAGTACGGCCAGGGCAGCGGCCTTTTGGCCTGGATGGAGTGCTGCTCCATATCGGACTCCCTTCGGTCCACCATGCTGTCCTGTCTCTCCCTGGACCAACGCAAGCCTGAGCACGTCGGCATGTTCAGCAAAGGCCTTCTGGTGGCTCTGACCCAGACTCTGCCCTGGTGCTCCGTCTCCCAGTGGTCCAGGCTGCTGGGGACCCTGAGGGAGCTGATCACCTCCGGTCGCCTCCACGTTCCATTCTCGCTCGAGTACGTGGACTATCTGCCCCTCCTGGATCTTAGGAGGTTTTCATGCGAGCTCCGCCTCTCTGTCCTCCTGCTTCGAGTCCTTCAGCTGCTCTGTGGCTCCAGCTGCTCACACTGGCTGTCAGCGGACGGCTGGGCACATGTTGGCAGGTTGTACGCCCATGCTGTGAGAGAGATGATGAACTTGGTCAGAGCCAAGCTGCCTCTTCCGTCATCTGGTTCTTGGACAGCCTCTGTTTCAACACCTCCCAAAACACCAGCATCCAGAGACTCAAATCCTTCCTGCGATCCAGAGAAAGTCACTCAACCGACCATAGACTCTCTGAGAGAAGCAGAAGGCCTGAAAGAGTCACACGAGGAAGAGGAGGTGGAGACGACGCTCAGCCAGGAAGTCCTGTTCGTTCTCAGCCAGCTCTTCTGTCACGTTCAGCACATCCAGGTAACATTAACACCACGGCCACTGAGAAGTCTAGATTCTGAGGAGCTGTATTTTTGTATGTCTATGAGAAGATGTGTGTTTTAACACATAGTGTAAAAGCAGTCACAGTGAGGCTGAGCTGCAGAACTAGGTTTACTGGTGTTGTGTTACCATTATTGTTATTTTAGATGTAAGGTACCAGTAGATGATATTTTGACGGCGAAGCGTTCCTCCCAGTATAATTGAAAATCCTCCTCTAGGTGATGATGCCAGGGGGCCGGAGCGAGCCGCTGTTCTTGTCCAGTTTGGAGATCCTCAGCCACTATGAAGCCGTCATGACCGCGTTTCCAGAAAGCAGCAGCCCGCTGGAGAGCGACAACACGCGTCACTTCTTCACCACCATCACAGACAACCTGGAGAGCGAGGAGATGAAGCTGGTGCTGCAGCAGAAGATCGCTCAGCTCGTCTCGGCAGACGCGCGCTGATTTTTTTTGTTTTCACGTTTTCCCCACCGGGGAGTCGGGGTTCAGACGCTCGAACTCATGTCTGGAGATTTCAAGACAAACAAAGATATAATTTCAGTTGTGAGTGTTGCTCACTGTTCTCAGTTAATGGAGTTGTTGCTAAGTGATGTGAATAAAAAACCACATTTCACAACAAAAGTCTTTCTTCTTTTCTACTTTGAAGTTTTCACTAATTTAAACTAAGGGGTAAAGTAATTATTCCTACATTGGACGACTGTCCTGCTAAAACTTGACGAACATGAGACGGTGTCACTTACCGTTCAGAGACATCCTGTTGTAACCGACTGTGAATGTGTGGCTGGTCTTGTACAGCTGCATCCGAACATTATAACGTGACTTGTTGACCTGGTCACGTGTCAAGTGCAGTCAGCCAATCAGAGGAGGGGCTCGTAAATAATTAGGTGAAAACAGCCTGTTCTGTTTGCAGAGGCAGAAGAGGGGACATGGAAATACACACTGCAGCAGTTTTTCCATCTTGAAACCACTGATATATCATCTTGGGGGAAACAATACCTCAAATGAAATCCCAGAAAGGTGAACACGACGGGCCCTTTAACACTAAACATCTACTTAACAATTGGGATTAAACCAACAAATGAGGAAACAACTAAGCTGCTTTATAATCGTCTGAAAAACAAGATTCCGTGTTTGTCCTGAGACGTTGTGAAATGTAATCCTTGGTCTTTGCTTTAGGTAGATTTATCTTTATGGAATTTCTTCAGCTGAACAGAATCAGTGGAAACAGAATCTATTTACAACAATTTGATGTAAAACAAAGAAACACATCGTATTTCACTTTCAGTAAAAATCAGTAAACCAGACCGTTTTACTTTTACGATATATAATATTTTATTTTACTAGAAAAATATACATTTTAGAATTCTTATACACGTTTCACAGATTTTAGAGTTTGAGCAGGTTGTTATTAGAAACAGGTGGATTCTTCAGTCTGTCTTCAGTTCTGTCTTCGGCCTGTCTTTGTGTCCGTCTCCCCTCCCCCTCTTCTGTCTCAGGTAGAGTCTCTTGGCTTTCTTCAGCAGCAGGAAGAACCAGTAGATCTGCGGAGCCAGGATCACCAGGTTGCCCACGTTGCAATGCAGTGGCAGATGGAAGGCCACTCTGTGCAGTGGAATCCCAAACTGCCGGCCGTACATCCAGTACATGAAGGGGAAGATCAAAATCCGACACGTGAAGAAGCTCAGGAGGACGGCGATGCCGTTGATTCTGTGCAGCCTGGTGTTGTCGAGGCCCAGCTGGACGTCAGGGGACACGTCAGACGAGAAACAGATGAGACAAAATGAAACTGCTCCTGATCATAAAGACGTGAGGGTGAAATCGTGCTCGCTCAGACGAAGCTGAACAAATCTCTGGTTGTTCTCTTCAAACCCTCATAACTGTTTCTTAATCACAACTTTGTACGTCTGCCAAGTACAGATTTATAATTTACACGGATCCAACAACAAATCAAGTTCTTTATTTTCTCATTTCATGGGTCTGATGTGAAGCCTGTGTCAGCGTCTATTTGCCAAAATGCACCGACTTGAACACTTTAATATTACAGATCAAACGATGCACAAAAGATGTGTGTTGATGTTAAAAACATTGATTATCATTATTATTTAAACGTTTTATATATTTGGTTGTAGTTGTGTTTTCTTTTCATTTTACAGTTACTTATAATAAAGTTTATGGTCATGCTGTACATCGAGCCTCACTTAAATTTAAAAACCGGTTTGATAACGACATGTTTTTTTTAATACATATATCAGTGAATATATGAAACTTTTATCGGCCCAGTTGAATCTGTACTATTATATATTTTTTCATGACGTCCACAAGAAAGATTTTCAGATTATTCTTTTAACTCTAACGTCTGTGGTTACGTACAAACTGAATTAACAGAATAAAAAAGACTAAACCGTGGATCCCGGCAACAATAAAGTACAAAATAAATGACTAATGTTATTTCGGCTGGAGGCAGAACCGTGTGAGTCATTTAGGAAAACAGACACAACATTGATCGTCCTGGTCGAGAATTATAAAAATGTAAGAGTAGAGTAACACACAGTGATGATGTGTTTTACCTGGATGAGGATCTTTCCTAAAGAGACGAAGGGAGTGCTGAACTCTGTGGTGAATAGGCAGCCGACGAAGAAATCCCCCAGGCCTCTTCTGAAGAACTAGAACACACACACACACCATCAGCACATGCTCTGTGTGTGTGTGTGTGTGTGTGACAGTCGTTCCTCACGGCTGCTCTTACCAGAGTGATGGGCAGGAAGACAAGCAGCAGTGTCAGGTGGTGGAGGACCAGTATCCAGTCCTTGTGGAGGAAATCCCTGACCGTCTGCAGAGAGTGGCCACTGGGTGCACGGCCGGGGTCTTTGCCCCCCTGAGCGTGAAAGTGGCTCAGGTACATGGCGTAGATGTCGTGGGCCATGTACGGAGCTCCGAACAAAACAAACCCGTTGACCAGCCAGTGACTGTATGTGAGACACAGCAGGTTCACTGAGTTAACACAGTTCACATGCAAACACAGTGTGTGTGTGTGTGTGTGTGTGTGTGTGTGTGTGTGTGTGTGTGTGTGTGTGTGTGTGTACCTGTCAGTCATGACATCTCTGCAGGACGTCACAACTGTGACTCCAGCTGCAGTGGACACAGATGCATGGATGGCAGAGACCAGTCTGACGACACAGTTTGCAAGAGACGTCACACACCAATACAGACTGCTTTTAGATAGTTACACACAACTGCACTGAAACCTTCTTTAACAGAAAACTTAGCTGAAGCCATCTTTTTTTTTTTAAAGAGCCGAATTAACCAGCTGTGTATAATGAGTCCGGACAGGTGTCGGACCTCCACAGAGTCCTGGAGACAAAGAGACGAGGTTAAAAACACACAGGATCTTCATGGAGCCTGGTGGAGGGCTGACCTCTCACTGACCACAACCACGTCTCCTTCGCTCCAGTGTCTCACAGCTGATCTCAGAAGTTTCCTGAAGGTGAAGAAAAGTCCTGGAAACACTGAAGCTCCACACACGAGAGCCGAGAACATCCCGTCACAGAGACTGCTAGTTAGCTGCTAGTTAGCTGCTAGTTAGGTGGTAGTTAGCCGCTTACATTAGCGCACTAAGCTACTTCCTTATTCTACCTTAGTGCTGTTCTGAGCCCTCGACCAATCATAACACAGGACCTTAAATAACCTGCCAGTGTCACTGCCTGTACTAAAATAATACTAAAATATTACTGCTGAAATATTACTACTGAAAAATACTACTGAAATAATACTACAAATATTCTACTGCTGAAATAATACCACTTAAATAATACTACTGAAATACCACTGAAATAATACTACAAATATTCTACTGCTGAAATAATACCACT